GCTGCTATTACACTGCAGAAATTAGCGCTGGAGGCAGCTTGTGCTTGGCTTCCACGTACTTTCCAGAAAGGGCATCCAGGGATACCGAGAGATGGACACTCTGCCCAATGCCTTGAGATGTTGTTCTAAATTCAGATTGCTCCCCTGCCCCACGTTAAAATCCATGCTGCTTTTTTCTTTTTTTTTAAATCATTATTTATGGAAATGGTACCCACAGCCAAGCAGAGCTGGATGGGAACAGGAATTCTTCGTCCCCATCTCCTCTGAGCGGGAAGAGAGGAGGCAGCTGAATTAGAGGCTTCTGCATTGTCTATCTGTGCTCCTTCCTCAGACATGAGTACCACCTGCCCAAAGCTACCACTGGCCAAGAACATTAACAGAAGTCCTGTGAATAATAATTTAAAATAATGGATTAATTAGAGGAAATTGTGGTCTGCCTGCAAATGTCCTTTCTGCAAGCATTAAAATGGAACTAATCCTTGCAGCTACACAATTCATTGCAAGCCACTGGCTCTGCTGGATTTTACTAGAGGGAAAGGGTATTATTATTCTCATCTGCTTATTTTAGAGACCAGACTCAGTTAGACTAACTCAGCAAAAACCTGTTTCTTTTCCTAAAGGAAGCCGAAAGCCAAATTTTTATAGTAGCTTGTGATCAGAGAAAGACCACTCTGACCTCCTACATGTTGTAGGTGATCCCATTTCCATGCAGGTGCTTCCATTTTGACCCAGGACTTCAGTTAAATTAAAATATTTCAGTCCTCAGAGTAGGGAGAAGAAGACAGTAAATACCTTCTGGGTCCACTGCGCTTGCAGAGGACTGTTTGGAGGAGACATTACGCAACCCTCAAGGCAAGAAAAATTGTGCAAAAAGTCCCAAAAAACACAAAGCCTCCTCTTCTAATGTGGGGCAACCCCAATCCACTATTGATGTCATTCTGGTTGCATGAGTAGTATTAGTGAAAAATGAAAAATCTGTATCACAGTTGTTGAGTGATTCCCAGAGTAATGTGCGGGGGGTATTTAACTCTGGCCAGACCTGAACCACCATTCTGGGGACAGAAAGACTGTAATTTGGGCACTACACAACACCTGAGGGAGAGTGAGGTCCTTCCACTATTTGTCCTGTACTGCTGTTCAAGGAATTCAAACACCTGACCAAGAAGCTCCCTGCACGTCACAGGAGCGAGGCGTGGCTCAGGAATTAAAAAGAACGAAGCATGGCATGGTTATCCCAGCACCCACAGCACACAGGGGGAAAGCTGGAAAAGAAAGAAGGGAACCTGCACCAAGTTTCGCCATCCTGTGGCAATTCTGGTGGAACCAAGCCTTAGTGTAGCTCCCCGGCAGAGGAATCAGAGCCGGGAAGGATCCACGGGAGTGATGCAGCCGCCGGCACACTCAGGGAGCAGCAGAGATGCAGAATGCAGCCCTCCCACCGTGGTCCTGCTGTGTCCAGCCCCGAAGGCACAAAGGGAAGGGGTGTAAGAGGAGGATGAAGAAGTGTGGGATGGGGTCTTACTGAGAACTAGAGAAATAGCTGAGAAATAGAACATTAATCCCTTAGTTTTGGATGAGCATAACAGTTCAGACTTCAGAAATAATCAATAGTCTTTCTGCTAGTGGAGTATTTCATTCCCAGCAGTTTCACGGAGAGTTTGAGGGAGATTATATATTTATGGTTTCCCATTTGAAAGACTTTTAGCAGGTTTACCTGGAACATATGGATCCTATTTTGGTTCTTTTGTTTTAGCACTTAATGCGTATGAAATTGCCAGTTAATGACATCCATGCCTTAACCATGTTGCTTTTTTAAGTAAAATGCCTACCAAAGGTCCATGTTCATACTTACCACTTCTCAAGTACAGCAATGAAAATTTTAAGAGGCTTGTTACCTAATATGTCTGGGGGAGAGAACCGACAGAATAATGAAACTACAAGCAGGGGTTTAGATGAAAGCGTTGCTGGCCCTGCCTGCGCTGGGGCTCGAGGCACTGCAACCCCACCAGCACCAACGGGGCACCCCAGGGCTGGGTGTGGGGAGACCCTGGGCATGGGTGCACAGAGGCCCCATATTTGTTGCAGGGAACTCGGGATGTGGAGGCTGAGGTTGGAATTACGAGGCCCCTGGGGCAGGGTGAGGGATACCGGGGTCGGGAGCAGGGGGATGAGGCTGGATGGAGGGGCAGCGCGGGGATGGGTGATGGGGTGGACTGTGGGCGATGCTCAGCCAGAGAGAGTATCCCCTCCATCTCCAGCCTCTGGCTGACCTGGAACTCGAGTGATAACGGGCCCTTTTGCTGCTGACCGGCTGGGCAAACCCCGGGGCACCCCCGGCACAGACTCCTCCGGCCCGGGGCGCTGTCGGGGCGGGCGAGGAGCTTCCCCGGGTCGGGCGGGGCGCGGAGCGGAGCGCGTCGCGCATGTTACCGGCTCCGCTAATCACCCTGAACCTTTGATTGCCCTGCACGTGGGGACGAGCCTCCGCACTTCAAAAGAGCGTGGGAAATCCTGATTAAAAGGCTTTTCTCCCCCGTTGGGATCGACACCTTCTTTGAAGCCCTTCCAAGCGACAATGCAAACGCACCCACCGCCAAAGGACTGTATCTATATTTTAAGTGACTTTAATTTCTCTTCCCCCCTCTTGCTCTCTTCCCCCCCTCCTTTCCTTTCAGTTTTGGAAACACCTGGTAAGTTGTAAAATGATTTACGAAGTGAAAGTGTTAAATGAGGCCACCAGCTGTAAGACTGACAGAGCTTTATGAGTTTTATTAGGTGCCCTATTATGGAAAATAAACTTTAATCCGTCCATAAAAACAGAATCTGAAAAACATATTTGCCCTTGTAGTCTGGAACACTGAAGGTATTCTTGTGAGACGCTGAGCTTTAAAGAGATTAATTTTATTGAGACAGACACAATACACCGGTAGGACTTTGATACCGAGTCCCTGAATAGCTGCCTGTACCCGCAAGGCTGGTTTTCATGGGGCTGGGACAGGTTTGGACCTCTTGGGCATGCAGAATATTTCTGGCACGGTGGGGCACATCTGCCAGTTTAATTAGTGGCTATTTAACTGGCAGTTAATGACTGAGGGAGGATCTTTTTTCGGGGGGGGGGGGCGATCCCAGGTATATCTTGAGAATTATTGATTATAATTAAAATTGTTTTTGTTGTTGTTATTATGCGCGCTATGCATTACATTTCATTTATGGCTAATTTTGTAAGATAACGGTATGTCCTCCAGACTGATAGAGTTTAGACGTTTCAAGGTGTGAGCAAGAGGTAAATCCTGACGAGAGTAACTGGGCCGTGTAGCCGGGATTAGGGTGGAGGAGCCACCGTGGCCCTGCGGGTGTGTTGCGCGCTCCTGCGAGGCCGTTCACCCGGAAGGATGCAGCGGCAGCAAGCGGCGTGGAAAAACACAGATACTGATGCCTTTATACTTCTATCGCCTTAAAAGTCTATACCACCTGTGGCCGAAAGGAAATCGTTTGCAAATTTAAATCAGAGCCTCCTATCTGATCGTTTCCATGCAAGGGCGTACGTATCAATCAAGCCAAATCAAATTTATCCCGATCAAGTTTTTTGACACACGGGATCCCTCCAGATTTATGATTTATCGTGATTTTTGGCGTGTCGAGCCGGGGCGCTGGGTGTGCAGGGCCGGTGAGCTGGTAACAACCCGCGTTATTGCCTGATTGGCACCTCCAGCCACCCCACCTGAAGCTTTTCCTTCGTGAATCTCATCCCATCATCTCATGCATCCACCAGCATGTGTTTCACGGGACGGATTTTTATAAAAGCCCCTTAGAGGGGCCACGCTGTTCCCATTTGAAAGGTTAACGCGGGTTTGAAAAAAATTCCTTTTATTATTATTATTTTGTTGTAAAAACGCACGAGAGTGGGAACGCTCCGTGTCTCATAGCTCCTCGTTCTCAGCCTCCCGAGGCTCTGCGGTGACCCACGAGGCGGTGACACCCAGGATGAGGGGCCGGGTCCCTCCGCTTCCCTACGAGGGAGCAGAGCGGAGCCGCCCCGTAATTCATTCGCGGGGATGAATTGCCAGACGTGGCCCCGAGCTGGCGGGGATGAGCCAGTGATTATATTTAAATTCGCTATAATTGATTTGGGGAAGAGCTGCGGTGACAGGGATTAATTGATCCGCAAATTTATTGGCGAGATAAATCCCCGTAGTTATCAAAAACCCCGCACGCCGCCGCCCAGGAAGGTGGGGGGTCCCGTCCTCGGTACCGGGGAGGGCACGGGGGCCCCGAGCGCCCTCCTGCCCGCCGGAGGCCCGCGTTTTGGAAGTCGAGCCGCCCCTGGAAGCCCTCTCTGCTCCCGCGCGGGGGGAGATGGGTCCCGCCGCATCCCGGATTCCCGAAAGCATCGCGCGACGGTCCCCGCCTGGGATACGCAGCTCCCGTGCGCTCCTCTCAGGAAAACCCCACGCCGCTATCAGACATCACAGGGCACCTGAGGCACTGGATTAAATTCGGGTTAGAAAGCGGTCACCTGCTCTTTCCCGAGCGCTTCGGCACCTCCCGGAACACCGGGATGCCCTGGCTCGAGAGCGCCGAGCATCTCCCCTCTCACACAGTGCTCATACACCGCTAGTACAAAACGCCATTTATTTTCCACCCCATCTCAAGGGTGGGAGGGCCTAGGGAATAATTTAGCATGCATAAGTAGAGGTAATTTTTTTTTATAAATACCATATATAAAAATAAAGACAGTATTGAGATTTCCAGCAGTTTTAACGTTCATGACATAAACAGTTTTCCCGATATATAGTAAGAACAACACTTCCAATACTTAGCGAAAGGAACGAGCTTCCAGGGGGCAGGGATGGGGAGGGGGTGTTGGGGACCTCAAGTTTTGTCTGCTTCTCAGTCAATAATAACACTGTATTCACCGTAAATCCTCTTCACCGCACGGCATGCGGAGGATCCTCTTCTCCATCCCTCTCCAAGCAGGGAGAAATCAGAACAAGGGAGGGAGCGGGGCCGGTGCCAACCACGAGTGGCAGGGCTCCCCTACGGCAGGATGGCTGGAGGGAGCGGGGCGTGCAGGGAGGCTCACTGGGACTGCGACGGGGCTCCGTGCCGGCCCCGGGGCTGCGTGTCCTCCTCGTCCGCCTCGGAGCAGTCGGAGGAGTGGTAAGGGCAGCACCTCCCGGCCGCCGCCGCCGCCACCTCCTCTTCCTCCTCCTCCTCTTCCTCGTCCTCAGGTTCGCTGTCGGGCAGTTCCCGCATCCTCCTCCCGCCGCTCTTCTCGGGGGCGGGCAGCAGCAGGTCCTCATCCCCCTTGTCCTCCCCTCCGCCCCCCTTCTGCTTTTCGGCCTCCTGCGCTGCCTGTTCCTTCGCTTTCTTGCTGCGCTTCCACTTCATGCGCCGGTTCTGGAACCAGATCTTCACCTGGGGGAGACAGGACACCCACATCACCTCATCCGCCACCTCCCGAGGGCAGCGCCCCCCACCCGCCCCTGGCCGCGGGAACTCACCTGTGTCTCGGTCAGCATGAGCGACGTGGCCACCTCGAAGCGCTTGGGCCGCGAGAGGTACTTGTTGAGCTTGAACTGGTGCTCCAGCTCCAGCAGCTGCTGGCTGGTGAAGGCCGTGCGGGGCCGGCGGCACTTCCCCAGCAGGTTGGACTGCGCCTGAGCTGGGAAAGGACAGAGGGGAGTGCGGAGGTGAGCGCGGAGCCGCCCTGCCGGGCCCGTGCATCTCCCGGGAGGACAGTGGGGAGGCAGCAAAGACTCTGTGTGTGTTACTGAAGCAAGGACGGACAGCTATCCACCCGAGCACGGACCGAGGCAGGGATTTCCTCCAGCCTCCAGGTCCCCCGGCTCCGAGGTTTTTCGGCTTTCATAGTGTCAGAGGATTCCCCGTAGGGACCAAAAAAAAAAAAAAAAATTAAATTACATCTTTTAAATAAAGCAAAATATGTCTCTTGATTTCCCAAGAGCCTAACAAACGCGAGACAATAAACCGAAGCCAGGGATCGCGGCGAAGGGCCACTGGGCTCTCCAGGGAGCGGCAATTTGCTCCATTTAATGTTTTAGTTAAACCTGCCGCAATCCCAGCCCGCCTATATCCGTTTAATTAGTGGGATTGCAGGCGGGCACCCCTCTGGCGGGCAGGCACCCGGACTGAGACAGGGCCCCGCTCCGCAGCGCCCCGGGAATGCCGGGCACCGGCCGTCCCTCGAGGCGTAAATCAGCAGCGAGGGCTGGAAAACTATGTTTGAAAGGAAAAAAAAAAAAAAAAAAAAAAAAGCGCGGAGTTTCCGCGTTCGAAAATTAAGAATTCATAAAAGGTGAACAAAAACTCAGCGGCGAGCAAGCGGAGACTGAGCCCCTTTGTGATGGGGCTCAGGCACCCCCCGGGGCAGCACTACGACCCATTTCTCAAAGTATTTTTGCTGCTTTGGTTTATTTGGTTTAGAAAATCAAAAATCTGGGCAGGGGCGGCTCCCGCTCGCCAGCCGTGGTTGGTGGCAGCTCGCTAAAGCGGCAGAAAGAAAAGGACAGTGTCCGCTGCCGGCCGCAGCGCCCGGGAGATTTTCTCACCGCGGTGCGATTTTCCGAGGCTCCGTTCTCGTTTCGCTCGGTTATTTATTCCCTTCTGCCCCTTGTTTGAGAGGCAGGGCTCTGACAGCTCTCCTAATTATTTTTCTTCCTGAATGTTCCAGTCTAAACAACCCCAATTCGAGTGAAAACAATGGACTTTTTTGTCTGCGAATGTGTGTGCAAAGTAGGAGAAGGGGGAGGAAAAAAAAAAATAATCGCAATTCTTTTCCTGGCATGATTTTCGTAAAACTACACCTCCGGTATTGTTAAACCGGCCATTCCCACCGAGAGCTCACACCTCCGAAAATGATCTTTGCTTAAACCAGATGCATGCAAGGTCCACATCGCCGCGAGGCCTAGAGCTCAGCTCCGCGCTTTGCTGGAACTCCGGGATTGCCCGGCTCCATTCAGCGCTCCCAGCCTTCCCTGGGCCCAAAACCTACACCCTTCCGATACTTGTCTATTCGTTATCCCCAGGGAACGTAGAACCCCACATTTTTTGCTGACCCCAGATCCTCCTTACGCCCCTTTGCTCAGAGGACCTGACATCATTATTAAAAGCCCATTTCCGATAAAGGAGAAATAAAATTAAGAGCGGTGGATGAGTGATGCGACCCTCTACCCCGCTTTTTGGGAGGGGGCTACATTGAAATAGGGATTTTGGGGGACACCACGGGGACTCCTGCCCCTGCCCTGTCCACACCACGCTCCACCTCCCCTCCCCAGCGGTTTTTTCCCTCCGGGAACGGGCATTTTACAAAGGCCGGGAGCAATTTGCCACCTTCCCATTTAACCTGCCGTGAGAAGCCGGGATGCCCGGGGCTCCTCGAGGGCCAGGAATCGCGAGGTGACCGCACATCCCCGTTTCCCATTGCAGAGCTCTCTATCTTTCTTTTTCCTAATAAAAATTTTTCAAAAAATAGGAATGCCGCCTCAGGTTTAACTCTGCATTTTATTTAGGCGGGGGCAGGAGGAGGTTTCTCCTCTCTAGGAAGGAGGCAGCTGCCGGTAGGCCCCCGCAGCGGGACAGGGCAGGGAAGGGACTCGGCTGCCCTGCGGAGGGAGGCGAATACTCACAGTTGAAGTCGGGCATCTTGGGCAGGATCATGCCGGCCGTGGAGGCCCGGAGCCACTGGTCCAGCTGGAAGGTGCCGGCGCTGAGTTTGATGGGGTCGGCGGCGGGGTGCGAGGGGTGCGCTCCCTGCACCTGCGAGTAGGGGTAGGAGAGCGCCGGGTGCTGCCCGCCCAGCGCCGAGTACCCGTACACCGGGTGCCCGTACAGGGCCGCCTGCGCCGGCATTCCCGGCCCGCCGGGCGCCGCGGGGTGCAGTCCCAGGGCCATGCCGGCCGCCGAGGCGTGGTGGTGCGGGTGGGCTCCCGCGCCCGCCCCGGGCAGGAAGCCAGGCTTGGGGACCAGCGCGCAGTGCGCGGCCAGGAGCCGCGGCGGGGACGGGCTGTCGGTGCGCAGGCAGTCGGCGGGGCCGCCGGCGGGATGCTCGGAGGAGGACGAAGAGGACGAAGAGGAAGAGGAGGAGGACGAGGACGGCGGGCTGCCGCTCCCGCTGCTGCTGCTCCCGCTGCCTCCCAGCGAGGTGACCAGGGCCAGCGGCGCGCTCTGCCCCGCCGCCGCCGCCGCCTTGGGGGGGTCGACAGCCAGCAGCGCGTCGATGCGGAAATTTTTGGATTTTTCCATGAGGAGCGCCGGCGGGAGGGAAGGAGGGAGGCGGCCGTGGGAGGGGGAGGACCGTGGGGCTGCCCCGGGCCGGCCGCGTCTCCCGGCGGCGGGGGCGGCACTGCGGCCGCGCTCCGCGGGGCGCGCCCCTTCAAGGCCCGCAGGCGGCTCCCATTGGCCCCGCAGCGCCGCGGCCTCGCCCATCACTGGCCCCGCCGCCCACCCGTCACGGCGGAGCGTCCGCCCCCTCCCGCACACACCCCCGGGGGGCTCTGGGATGGGGACGCTGGGAGAGGGGATGGTCTGGGCAAACCGGCTGCTATCCGAGGGGAAAGCCCTCCCCGCAGCCGGACTGTGTGTCCGGTGTCGGTTTTCCACCGTTCCCGCGCGCACGGCAAATATTTGCCGTAAACGCGCCGCCGGCCGCTTTTTTAACGAGTCGGAAAGAATAAACACCTGCGGGTCAGGGAGTCACCCCGCCACCAAATCCCGGGTCTGTCAACAGCGTTATTACACCTGCTTATCTCGAGCAAACAGCCCCGGACAGAAAAGGGAAAGAGCGGGGCGAGGGGTCGCTCCCTTATCCAGGGTCCCGTTCCCCTCAGGGGGGCCGCGGGACCCCCTCACCGGCGGTGTGAGCGAAAGGTCAGGATGCAGCATGAAGGGCTGTCAAGGTAAACACGCTCTCCCTTCAAAAAGCCATTGCCAGTCCCGCAGAGAAGGCGCTCGGCAGCGGGAAATGCCCTTGTCGCAGCTTTGCCGCTGTGAGTTCCCCCCGGGAGGGGCCGCTCCGCACTCGGGGGGCGGAGGGACTGTGTCCCAGGGACTGCCGGGGTCACCCAACAAGGGTGCGCTGCCCCCCACCTCCCCCAGGCCCATGTGCCTAGGCTGGGAAAAGTAAAAGCAATGAAAAGAGGAGAGAAATAAGCGAAAAGAAGGGGAGAAGGGGCAAAAATTGAGAAGAGAAGCGGAGTCCAACACAACCAATGAAATATCCGACAACTTTGCCCCGGTCTCCTCACCACTGCTCCCATGGGCAGGAGGCACTGAGCACCTCTGCGGGGTGTACACACACACATACAGACACGCACCCATACAGACACGCACCCTTCACTCTGTGCCCTGGTATTCCCCTTCTACTGCACTTTTTCCCCCCCTTGACCTCACTGGAGCCTCCAGACACACTTGCACAGCAGACACAACACAGACACACAAGCAGGACACACGTGTGGACAGAATTACAGCAGGCGCACAGACACACTTGTACGTAGGCCTGGCACGACCACACACAGCAGATGCACACGCGTGGCACGGTGGAGCCACACACACACGGGCAACCCCCGCACACAGGTCCCAGAGAGCAGACGCACAGACACCCAAACAACAGCCGCTGCTGCCCGGGGAACCCCAGAACGTACCGGGCACAGCCCGCACACACAGCGGGAGCCGAAGCCGAGCCCCGCAGCTGCACGGAGTCCCCGTACACCCCGGTCCCCGCGAAGAAGAGGGGGATACCGAGTAGCAGGACCATTTTCATGAGCCTCTTCGGTTTTGACGGGCCTCTGGCGGGCTCCGAAAAGCCAGGGGAGGCCTAAGGGAAAGGGCCCGGGAGCCCGGCAATCCCCGGGCCATCGCCGCCTTCCGCCGGGGCTCTGCACTCGGCCCCACGCTTCCCCTGGACCGTCACTTTGTGCCCCATGCGCGGGGCACTTCCACGGCTGTGAGAGAGTGTCCGGAACAGGGGCTTGTCCCCGTGGCTGACTCCAGAGGAACGGGGGGTGGGTAGTGGACCCGCGTTCCGACCCCGTCAGAGCTGAGGGTCACCCCCTTCAGTGCATGGTGGGCAGGGGGGATGTCTATCCGGCTGGACACGGGGACGCGGCAGTCACCGGCCGGACCGAGCCGGTGCCAGCTCCTGGTGCCCGGCCGGCGGCGCCGGGACTGCTCGGGCGCGTCCCGGTCGCGGATTGTCCCGCACGTAGGGAGCCTGCTTTGCGGTACCGCGGTGCGGCCCCTTCCCGGTGCCGTTTTGGGGAGGAGGGACGGAGCTGCAGGGAAAAACACCCCATGACAGCGGATAGCCATAAGCGCAGGGCTGTGCTGGTGGACGCGTGTGTACTGCCGGAGGGATGCGTGGCCCGCGGTCGAGGGTGGCCGGTGCCGTGAACGATTCTCCAGGCGGAGATAGGGCGGAACGCGCGGCCGTCTGGTGGGAGAAAAGGACCGGGGCCGCATGGCCCCCGCCCCGGGGGCGGGCTCAGGCTGGACACCCCGTCCGGTGCCGCACGCAGGCATCGTTCAGCTGATGGATATTTAGTTACTTAGTGCTTAGAGAGGGATTTCGATTTTCAGAACTTTTTTGGGGTTTAATGTGTATAATTTTCCTAATTGATTTCTTTTTTTACTTTTTATTATTTTTCTTTCTTTTTTTAAAAAAATTATTTTTTAGGTTTGTTTTTTTTTTCTTCCCCCTCAGCGTTGCGTTCCGTGTGTTTGTCCCCACAGGTGCCGCGGGGCATCCGGGCCTGCTGAACTCCCCGCGGCTCCCGCACCTGTGTTGATCCAGTATATTGCCCGGGAGCCAACAATGCGCGGTTATCTCGGCGGAGATAGCGCAAGGAGCGCGCTCCCCCGACACCTCCGGGTGGTCCCTTTCAGCAGAGCCCCCGCTCCCCCGGCCGTGGGCAAACAGATGCCTATCTCGCCTTTTGAAAAGCCGGGGCGGTGCACGCAGGGGGCGGCGCGGGGCACTGGGGTAAACCCCGGTGGGAACAGCGCAGCGCCCGGAGCCCTGCATTTGAGGGGGGTCTCTCACTCCTCCGAATTACCCCCCCCCCCCACGCCGGCCGGTGTCCCCAAAGCCGTTACAAACCGCAGGCGGGGGGCCAGCGCTATTGCCAAAAACACATATTACACTGCGACATTCTGTAAATGAGATAATGATACATAAACCTCCCTGATAAATGTGACATCCTCGGGATGTCTCCTCTAAATTAGCCGCTTGCATTGACTGCTAATAATGGTGAGTTTATGAAAGCAATTTCAGTGCAAAAAGCACAGAGTCTTCTCGGTCTAATCAGCTGCCTCTCCTAATGGATGAGGGGGTCAGGCGGAGAATTATTGACACTCTGCTGCCCTTAACCTGTTTCCCAATAAAGCTGATTAGTTTTTGTCAATTCATCAGCTAACCACTCTCGCCGGGACTGCATCAAAGCCTTATTTGCTCAGGGGAAATCAACAAGTCACAGATCAGATCCATTACGGAGCAGCCCCGGCTGCCGGAGGCTCCCGCGCCGGGGCCGCTGCGGGGCTGCCCCAGACATCGGCTGCGAGCGGCTTTTTTGGGGGGAAAACGAGCTCCCCTCGGGTACTCTGGCTGCAATAAACACCCTCAGGCAGCTGTAAAATGCCTGTGCGTTATCAAACTTTTTTTTTTCTCCTGGGAAAGGAGTTGGGGATCCCGGGAGGGCTCCGGGCAGGTCCCAAAGGCAACTGGGTCTCCACCAGCACCTTGTCCATGCTGGGGGCTCAGGGGCGACTGCCTATGCAACGTCCCTCCCGGAAAAAGGGCATTTAATGCCTTCTAAGACGTCCATCCTGGAGAGAAGGGTCGGTCTGCCAGAAGCCTTCCTTCACCTCAGACCCCCCTCCATATCTGAGCAAAAAGCTGCGCCTGCATTAGGAGGTCGGGATACTTTCTCAAGATGCTTTTGGTTTGGTTATTTTTTTTCTTACCTACAAGCCATTTCCAGAGTTTTGCCTGGCTTGCTTTGGACTTCCTCTTGTTAAACAAAAAATTTAAATTTTTTTCCTGTTACTTCTGCAATCCCCGCATCAGGGGTGGTTTGTCTGGAATAACGGAGGCTCGACAGTTTTTGCTCATCCACAAGAAAACAACAAAAAGCCCACCACCTGATGTGCACTGCCCCTTTAAGCCCCGACCGACAGCCTCTCAGTCCACCCCCCTTCAATTTAATTTCATTAAAACAGAGCATGAATATTTCTATTAAACCTAAAATGAAATATGAAGCCATTTAGACTCTGCCTGCACCAATCACCCAGATTTATGACTTTTATTCATCACATCAAGAGCTGGGAAAAATGAATTTTCTTCACCCAGGAAGGAAATAAAACCCCTGCCTTGGTCATTTCCAGAAAGCTGTTAATTTGCCCATGTGGTAATTACTTTCACAATTAACTAAAATACAAATCAATCTGACAAATTGGGTTAGTTTATATATTAATTAGCCAGCTTAAATTTATTCATTATGAAAAGACAATTTAAGAGGACCCCGGGTGTCTGTTTTATCGCAATAAATTACTGTTAGGAAATGGGGGCTAATAAAATATCACCGTATTGGAGGGCACCGCGCGGGGCTTTCCGCGGGTGCGGGCCGGAGCGCGGCTTTCCGCGGGGGCGGAGGTGGGAACGGGGGCCGGGAGGAGAGGGAGAGGGGCCGGGGCCGTGCCCCGCCTCCAGCTGCGCTGATTTAACACTCCGTCGATAGGATCATTCGATGCCTTTTAGCTTGTGATCTTTATAAATGTCCCGCTATTAAATTAGAAAATGATTCTCTCCTCGTTTAATTGTATTCTTTCGTTTCTTATTTCCAATTAATTAGTCCTATCGACGTTGCAATATTTTAAGTGACTGGAGTCCGTTTACAGTTTAAAATATATGGGTCAGCGCGTGCAATTTCAGACTAGGCAGAACTATATAATGTGGGTTTTAACTACTCTTCTCTCATACGTCTTAAACATCTGGCTAAATGCATCACTGGGAAACACCGCGCGTATTTTGCGCGCTCGGGACCGGCCGCCCCGCGGCCCCTCCGCGCTCCCAGCGCGGCCGCGGTGGCTGCGCGGGGCAGGTCTGAAAATCGCTTTGCGCTGCTCCTCCTGCCACCGCTGTGCCGTGAACCGGGCGGCTAAGGACAAACCTGGGCGTTTAGGGGAAGGGCTGAGGGTTTGTTGTTTTTTGGCTTTTTCCAGTACAGCTCCTGGAGCTGCGAAACGCCTTT